CTCTCTCTCTGCTCTCTCTCTCTCGCTCTCTCTCTCTCTGCTCTCTCTCTCTCTGCTCTCTCTCTCTCTGCTCTCTCTCTCTCTCTCTGCTCTCTCTCTCTCTCTCTCTCTCTCTCTCTCTCTCTCTGCTCTCTCTCTCTCTGCTCTCTCTCTCTTTGCTCTCTCTCTCTGCTCTCTCTCTCTCTGCTCTCTCCCTCTGCTCTCTCTCTCTGCTCTCTCTCTCTCTGCTCTCTCTGCTCTCTCTCTCTCCCTGCTCTCTGCCTCTGCTCTCTCTCTCTCTGCTCTCTCTCTCTGCTCTCTCTCTCTCTGCTCTCTCCCTCTGCTCTCTCTCTCTTTGCTCTCTCTCTCTGCTCTCTCTCTCTGCTCTCTCCCTCTGCTCTCTCTCTCTTTGCTCTCTCTCTCTGCTCTCTCTCTCTCTGCTCTCTCTCTCTCTGCTCTCTCTCTCTCTGCTCTCTCTCTCTCTGCTCTCTCTCTCTCTGCTCTCTCTCTCTCTGCTCTCTCTCTCTCTGCTCTCTCTCTCTCTGCTCTCTCTCCCTCTGTTCTCTCTCTCTCCTGACCCTCGTAAACTCTCTCCTTTTTCCTAAAACATGTGTGAATGTCGTTGGACTCATCTGTCTCTAAAAACACATTTTAGAAAAGAATCCATTTGAAAAATAAGTTTCCGGAAATGTGTTTTTGTCTAAATAGAATCTGGAAAAACGTCCCGACGGAGAATCACAGAAACATTTCCACTCAGCAAAAGTTTTCATAACGAAGACGCCTCATGTTTCTCCAGAAGTCACTGACCTGCCCCATTCTTACCCAGCATGCCTTTCTCATTAGAGTCTGCTGTTATTGTCCTCAGTCCTGGGTCTACAGCCTCAGTCCTGGGTCTACAGCCTCAGTCCTGGGTCTACAGCCTCAGTCCTGGGTCTGCAGCCTCAGTCCTGGGTCTACAGCCTCAGTCCTGGGTCTACAGGCTCAGTCCTGGGTCTACAGGCTCAGTCCTGGGTCTACAGCCTCAGTCCTGGGTCTACAGGCTCAGTCCTGGGTCTACAGCCTCAGTCCTGGGTCTACAGCCTCAGTCCTGGGTCTACAGCCTCAGTCCTGGGTCTACAGGCTCAGTCCTGGGTCTACAGCCTCAGTCCTGGGTCTACAGGCTCAGTCCTGGGTCTACAGGCTCAGTCCTGGGTCTACAGGCTCAGTTTGGATTTTTGGCCTTTGTCTCATCTTTAGATCTACTTTTTTAGACTGAAAACTTAAAAAGGAACGACCACCCTCTCTCAGCCAATCAGCTCTTCAGCCCAGACAGTCAAATAGTGACTCACAGGGGCTGATCAACATATTATGGTTTGACTTTCTCACTGCACATTTAACTTCTACAAGACTCTTTCTGCAGACGGACAAACGACATGTATTATCTACGACAGAATAAAGTTAGGTACCCGAGCTTTCAGTGTTAAGAAAAACGGCCCCGTCCCAGAGACACGCCGAGTATACAGTCTCCCCACACATCAAAGTGAAACTACAGCCGCTCAGCAGGTCGTCCTAACCCCCCTCAGCAGGTCTTCCTAACCCCCCTCAGCAGGTCTTCCTAACCCCCCTCAGCAGGTCGTCCTAACCCCCCTCAGCAGGTCTTCCTAACCCCCCTCAGCAGGTCGTCCTAACCCCGCTCAGCAGGTCGTCCTAACCCCCCTCAGCAGGTCGTCCTAACCCCCTCAGCAGGTCGTCCTAACCCCCTCAGCAGGTCGTCCTAACCCCCTCAGCAGGTCGTCCTAACCCCCCTCAGCAGGTCGTCCTAACACCCTCAGCAGGTCGTCCTAACCCCCTCAGCAGGTCGTCCTAACCCCCCCTCAGCAGGTCGTCCTAACACCCTCAGCAGGTCGTCCTAACCCCCTCAGCAGGTCGTCCTAACCCCCCTCAGCAGGTCGTCCTAACACCCTCAGCAGGTCGTCCTAACCCCCCTCAGCAGGTCGTCCTAACCCCCTCAGCAGGTCGTCCTAACCCCCTCAGCAGGTCGTCCTAACCCCCTCAGCAGGTCGTCCTAACCCCGCTCAGCAGGTCGTCCTAACCCCCCTCAGCAGGTCGTCCTAACCCCCTCAGCAGGTCGTCCTAACCCCCTCAGCAGGTCGTCCTAACCCCCTCAGCAGGTCGTCCTAACCCCCTCAGCAGGTCGTCCTAACCCCCCTCAGCAGGTCGTCCTAACCCCCCTCAGCAGGTCGTCCTAACCCCCTCAGCAGGTCGTCCTAACCCCCTCAGCAGGTCGTCCTAACCCCCTCAGCAGGTCGTCCTAACCCCCCTCAGCAGGTCGTCCTAACCCCCTCAGCAGGTCGTCCTAACCCCCCTCAGCAGGTCGTCCTAACCCCCTCAGCAGGTCGTCCTAACCCCCTCAGCAGGTCGTCCTAACCCCCTCAGCAGGTCGTCCTAACCCCCTCAGCAGGTCGTCCTAACCCCCTCAGCAGGTCGTCCTAACCCCCTCAGCAGGTCGTCCTAACCCCCCTCAGCAGGTCGTCCTAACCCCCCTCAGCAGGTCGTCCTAACCCCCTCAGCAGGTCGTCCTAACCCCCTCAGCAGGTCGTCCTAACCCCTCAGCAGGTCGTCCTAACCCCCTCAGCAGGTCGTCCTAACCCCCTCAGCAGGTCGTCCTAACCCCACTCAGCAGGTCGTCCTAACCCCCCTCAGCAGGTCGTCCTAACCCCCTCAGCAGGTCGTCCTAACCCCCTCAGCAGGTCGTCCTAACCCCCTCAGCAGGTCGTCCTAACCCCCTCAGCAGGTCGTCCTAACCCCCCTCAGCAGGTCGTCCTAACCCCCCTCAGCAGGTCGTCCTAACCCCCTCAGCAGGTCGTCCTAACCCCCTCAGCAGGTCGTCCTAACCCCCTCAGCAGGTCGTCCTAACCCCCTCAGCAGGTCGTCCTAACCCCCTCAGCAGGTCGTCCTAACCCCCCTCAGCAGGTCGTCCTAACCCCCCTCAGCAGGTCGTCCTAACCCCCCTCAGCAGGTCGTCCTAACCCCCTCAGCAGGTCGTCCTAACCCCCCTCAGCCTGAAGAGGGTCCTACAGGTTGGTTGTTTGAAGCTACTTAAGTTAAAGGTACAGTCTGCCTGAAAAACGTGAGACAATGTTCAGATCCAGACTAAAAGCAATACTTTTCAGCTAAAAATAGAACTTGTCTTTTATAGTTATGGCGTTAGCTGTAGGGTTAGCACTAGACTGTAGGGTTAGCCATAGACTCTAGGGTTAGCCTTAGACTCTAGGGTTAGCCACAGACTGTAGGGTTAGCCATAGACTGTAGGGTTAGCCACAGACTGTAGGGTTAGCCTTAGACTCTAGGGTTAGCCTTAGACTCTAGGGTTAGCCTTAGACTCTAGGGTTAGCCTTAGACTCTAGGGTTAGCCTTAGACTCTAGGGTTAGCCTTAGACTCTAGGGTTAGCCTTAGACTCTAGGGTTAGCCTTAGACTCTATAGGTTAGCCTTAGACTCTAGGGTTAGCCACAGACTGTAGAGTCTGTTCTCGACCATGTTTGGACGTTGTGGAAAATGCACAGGATTTCCATCGTTCAGAGAAAATCCTCGTGGGAACCGAGCGTCGTCGCTTCTTGCGCCGCTTTGATGGATGTGACCAAAACATCTGTGGGAAACATCAGCTCAGAGCCAGAAACATGGACAGAAGCAGCAGATGGAGCAGGGTTCGCCTCCCGCCCTCGAGCTGCCACAGTCTCAGGATCAGAACTCACTCAGCGGCTGGAATCCAACAAGACCAAAAACAGAATCTACTGTTGCTTCATAAATGAGCCCTGTTTAAGGTTAAGTTTGATTTATTCAGGACAATGTGCAGCTGCAGCAGATTTAGCACCGGCGTCTTTCCACCTGTGGTCCTCACAAAACAATCATGTAACTTACACAATATTATACAATTCAAAGTAAAAGAGCAGGTTATTCAAAAAAACAAAAGTGCAAGTTACTAAAATACTAGGGCCGGGACTTTGACGCGTTAATTAAGATTAGTGAACGCCATAAAAATTAGCGCGTAAAAAAAAATTGACGCATTTTAACCGTATGGAACGTTGCACCGCGGAACGTTCCTCACTGGATGAGTTTCAGACGGACCGATTATACTGACGCACCAACTGAGCTCCGTGACTTTTCTCGTTCAAAAGTACATTATTACTGCTCATCACAGGCTCCTCACAGCAGGAGAACCATTAATATGATAAATATTAATATTAATATGAATGTCATTTCAAAACGTTCTACCGGTCATTATTTTCTATAACGGACCTCTCAAAACAATAATGACCGCTGCCCTTTGGCAACGCACTCTCTGCTTGTCTTTCAGATGTGTGGATAACTCCGCAAGTAGTTCCGGCCACTCCGGAGCTAGTAATAAAGTTTTCAGAATTTACTGTTTACGTTTTCATGACAAAAACACTGATGTGATGCGAGAAAAGGCGATCCTGAAAAACCCAGAAGTAGATTTTGGGACATTTTAGGAACATTTGCAGAGGATGGAATTATGGATTTAGGTTTAGTTTATGTTTGGGTCACTCACCGCTGATGTTCAGGATTCTGTGTTCCTAAAAGTGACTGAAGTTTATGTTGTGTGTTCAGTTCGTACAAAGCCGTATAATAAGCGGGATAGTACCTTCAGGGCGAAGCGGTCTGCTTCGCCCTGAAGGTACTTACTTTTGGTATCTCAATCAAAGTGAGTTAGAGGAGGAGGAGGAGGAGCGACTCCTGTAAGCCGAGGCGAAGGAGCAGGAGGAGGAGGAGCGACTTCTGTGAGCCGAGGCAAAGGAGGAGGAGGAGGAGCGACTCCTGTGAGCGGAGTCGAAGGAGGAGAGGAGGAGGCGGAGGAGGAGGATGCGGAGGAGGAGGAGGCGGAGGAGGAGGAGGCGGAGGAGGACGAGGAGGAGGCGGAGGAGGAGCGGCTATTGCTGATGTCCAAATGCACACATCAAAAACATATTATAAAAGCTTTAGAAAACAGCGCAGGCCCAGCTTTAGTGTTCACTGTTAGTGCAGGAGGAGGAGAAGGAGGTCAGAGTGTGTGGAGGAGGAGAAGGAGGTCAGAGTGTGTGGAGGAGGAGGAGGAGGTCAGAGTGTGTGGAGGAGGAGGTCAGAGTGTGTGGAGGAGGAGGTCAGAGTGTGTGGAGGAGGAGGAGGAGGTCAGAGTGTGTGGAGGAGGAGGTCAGAGTGTGGGTCGGTCCTCGCTTCGCTCCTCTTCAGCTCCTCTTCAGCTCCTCCTCAGCTCCTCCTCAGCTCCTCTTCAGCTCCTCCTCAGCTCCTCTTCAGCTCCTCCTCAGCTCCTCCTCAGCTCCTCCTCTTCAGCTCCTCTTCAGCTCCTCTTCAGCTCCTCCTCAGCTCCTCCTCAGCTCCTCTTCAGCTCGTCCTCAGCTCCTCCTCTTCAGCTCCTCTTCAGCTCCTCCTCTTCAGCTCCTCTTCAGCTCCTCTTCAGCTCCTCCTCTTCAGCTCCTCTTCAGCTCCTCTTCAGCTCCTCCTCAGCTCCTCCTCAGCTCCTCCTCAGCTCCTCCTCAGCTCCTCCTCTTCAGCTCCTCTTCAGCTCCTCTTCAGCTCCTCCTCAGCTCCTCCTCAGCTCCTCCTCTTCAGCTCCTCTTCAGCTCCTCCTCAGCTCCTCCTCTTCAGCTCCTCCTCAGCTCCTCTTCAGCTCCTCCTCTTCAGCTCCTCCTCAGCTCCTCCTCAGCTCCTCCTCAGCTCCTCCTCAGTTCCTCCTCAGCTCCTCCTCAGCTCCTCCTCTTCAGCTCCTCTTCAGCTCCTCCTCAGCTCCTCCTCAGCTCCTCCTCAGCTCCTCTTCAGCTCCTCCTCAGCTCCTCCTCAGCTCCTCTTCAGCTCCTCCTCAGCTCCTCCTCAGCTCCTCCTCAGCTCCTCTTCAGCTCCTCTTCAGCTCCTCCTCTTCAGCTCCTCCTCAGCTCCTCTTCAGCTCCTCTTCAGCTCCTCTTCAGCTCCTCTTCAGCTCCTCCTCAGCTCCTCTTCAGCTCCTCTTCAGCTCCTCTTCAGCTCCTCTTCAGCTCCTCTTCAGCTCCTCCTCAGCTCCTCCTCAGCTCCTCCTCAGCTCCTCCTCAGCTCCTCTTCAGCTCCTCCTCAGCTCCTCCTCAGCTCCTCTTCAGCTCCTCTTCAGCTCCTCTTCAGCTCCTCCTCTTCAGCTCCTCCTCAGCTCCTCTTCAGCTCCTCCTCTTCAGCTCCTCCTCAGCTCCTCCTCAGCTCCTCCTCTTCAGCTCCTCCTCAGCTCCTCCTCAGCTCCTCCTCTTCAGCTCCTCTTCAGCTCCTCCTCCTCAGCTCCTCTTCAGCTCCTCCTCTTCAGCTCCTCTTCAGCTCCTCCTCAGCTCCTCCTCTTCAGCTCCTCCTCAGCTCCTCCTCAGCTCCTCCTCTTCAGCTCCTCCTCCTCAGCTCCTCTTCAGCTCCTCCTCCTCAGCTCCTCTTCAGCTCCTCCTCTTCAGCTCCTCTTCAGCTCCTCCTCTTCAGCTCCTCTTCAGCTCCTCCTCCTCAGCTCCTCTTCAGCTCCTCCTCTTCAGCTCCTCTTCAGCTCCTCCTCAACTCCTCTTCAGCTCCTCCTCAGCTCCTCCTCAGCTCCTCTTCAGCTCCTCCTCAACTCCTCTTCAGCTCCTCCTCTTCAGCTCCTCTTCAGCTCCTCCTCAGCTCCTCTTCAGCTCCTCTTCAGCTCCTCTTCAGCTCCTCCTCAACTCCTCTTCAGCTCCTCTTCAGCTCCTCTTCAGCTCCTCCTCAGCTCCTCCTCAGCTCCTCCTCAGTTCCTCCTCAGCTCCAGACTCTCATCTGTCGCGCTTCGTTAAAACGCAGTAAAGGACTTTGAGTTATGGATTTTCATCAGAGAGAGTGGCTTCTCTTCTCTCTGTTGTTTCTCAGTTCAGTCTGATTTAGTTTGGACATCGCTCAAGAAGGAAATGAGACCAAGAAAAACAATAATAATCAAAGAATCAGCGCTCGGTGTTTGGACTCAGTCTTAAAGTCTTATTGGGCTCCGTTGGTCTGGACCCAGAGTCGGGCTCAGAGCGTTTGGACCAAGGCTGTGGTTAGAAGTTCATTATTGTTCAGTTTATTTATGTATCGCCAACAACAAAACATTCTAAATATTCTAAATATTCTAAACATTCTAATACTGAATTATGGTCTTTTACTAAAGCCCAAAGGACGAGAAAGGCCAGAGACACAGTCCAACAGACAGAAGAAAGTAGGAGGAGAGGGGTGTCCTTACCGTATGTGGCGGGAGTTTCAGAGAAACTACAAAGAATATTTAGGAAACACAAAATCCCTGTGTATTTCAAACCTTTCAACACGTTAAGACAGAAATTAGTGCATCCCAAAGACAAAACACCCAGACACAAACAGAGCAATGTGGTGTATTCAATTAAATGTAGTGAAGAGGAGTGCACTGACCACTATATTGGAGAAACCAAACAAACTCTACAGAAACGACTTTACCAACATCGTAGAGAAAACTCTAGTGGGCCACAGTCGGCTGTTCATCTCCACCTCAAGGCCTCCAACCACACGGTGGAGGCCTTGCAAAAAGGTCCTGGGTTCAAATCCCGGTCGGAGCGGGGCCTTTCTAAGCAGAGTTTTCATGTTCACGCTGTGTCTGCGTAGGTTTCCTCCAGGTGCCCCGGTTTCCTCCAGGTGCTGCAGTAGATCTGTTGACCACCTGTGGTCTGTGAAAGGCGCTATATAAATAAATATAACTTACTAACTGTAACTAACCCTCCCCCATCTGGGCTCTCCGACCCCCTGTGGCCGCGGTCTAACCAGGCTTTAGGTTGTGTTTGTGGCCACAGCCCGACGGTCTTCAGACTCAGACTCAGACTCAGACTCAGACTCAGACTCAGAGCTGAAGCTGAAGTCTGAGTCTGAACAGTTTGTGACAGAATCCTCTGAGTCACTGCAGTCGTCTGTGTTTACTGCGACTCACAAACTAAACTAAACCACCACAAGTTTATCACGAAAACATTTGGCCCTTTGTTTTAGGTTTTACAGGACAATTGTTTAAGATGAAGGTGAAGAGATTCTTTACTGGTCGCACAGGGAAATGTCAGTGTTGCATCGTTACAGGACAGAAGAATGAGGAGCACACAACAAAGGATAAAAGAACAACAACTATAAACTAAAACACAATAACATCTCTAGCTTTAGCACAACAAGAAGCAAGTGTAACATCTCTTTAGTTGGTAATGATTTCATAAATGCATATAACGTGACCATTCTGAGGTCCGTGCCCCAATCTGGCAACCCCCAGACAAAGAATCCTAAACGCGGCCCTCTTACAGAGAGAACAGAATAATGGCACAAAGATTAGGTACGAGCCATGGATCTATAATAAAAACTGGATAGACTTTAGCTAGCTTACAGCTGTCCCACCCATGGCCACAGGGGGCGCTGTGCTACTGCAGACTAAAGTCACGTGGGCTACCCAGCTGTGTCCGAATGTCCACACTATACTCTATATAGTGGTCACGCCATCTTGTAGGGGTGTCCGAATGTCCAGAGAGAAAAAGTAGTGCACTGGAATTTTCCCACAATGCATCTTGAAAATGTAGTGAGCAGCAGTGGTCACTAGACGGTAGAAAAAAAGGGGGAGGCAGTGGGAGACGAGCTGGAAGAGGAGCGAGACATGAGCTATAAATGTGTTTAATCATAAATATGTAAATGTGTAAACCGTGATATATTGTTGATGATAAACTACAAAAATACACTTAGATTATTGTGTGTTTAAAGTTTTAAAGAGATTAACACGGACGTTATAACCTTGGAGCAGCTATAACCTTGTTGTCTGCTGTGGTTTTTTTGGGGCATTCTCGCGGTTTTGGGCTGGAAAATCTTGCCGGCATTTGGCAACCCTGCAACGCAGTGTGTTTCGTGAGCTTCGATGTGAGCGGTTGAAGGAACATTCAAGAAAACAGAAAAGTGGTTTATCCAATCACATACGAGGAGTTTTTTACAAGGCCCCGCCTTCTGAAATTCATCTGCTATGAAGCAGACCCAGACCCTCAGCGAACTTCAGGGTCTGAGTCAGGCTAGGACCTATAACCTCAGGGGACTTCTTTTTCCGTTGGATCCAAAGAAAAGGCTTCGTCTCATCTGAGAAGAGGAGTTGGCCATGTTCAAAGAATACAATATACAGCTAAAGAGTGGACTGTTAGCTTAGCAGAACACATTAGCTTTAGCATTAGCCACTCCTGCAATCGTCACACTTTGTCTGTTACACACTGACCCGGGCCACTGAAGGGAAAGGTTATGTGGGCCTTACAGGAGAAGGTTTGGGGACCCCTGCTATAAAACTACCTCCCATGGGACGAAACACACTCTGGTGTTTTACTGAGTGGAAACGCCGACATCATCCCAATCTGTGGGTTTTTCCCCTTTAATCCTTGGCTCGATCCCCAGACAGCTGTACGGCGCAACGTACAGGCGCAACGTACAGGCACAACGTACAGGCGCAACGTACAGGCGCAACGTACAGGCACAACGTACAGGCGCAACGTACAGGCACAACGTACAGGAACAACGTACAGGCACAACGTACAGGCGCAACGTACAGGCACACACAACGTACAGGCACAACGTACAGGCGCAACGTACAGGCGCAACGTACAGGCACAACGTACAGGCACAACGTACAGGCACAACGTACAGGCGCAACGTACAGGCGCAACGTACAGGCGCAACGTACAGGCGCAACGTACAGGAACAACGTACAGGCACAACGTACAGGCGCAACGTACAGGCACACACAACGTACAGGCACAACGTACAGCCGCAACGTACAGGCGCAACGTACAGGCGCAACGTACAGGCGCAACGTACAGGCACAACGTACAGGCGCAACGTACAGGCACACACAACGTACAGGCACAACGTACAGGCGCAACGTACAGGCGCAACGTACAGGAGCAACGTACAGGCACAACGTACAGGCGCAACGTACAGGCGCAACGTACAGGCGCAACGTACAGGCGCAACGTACAGGCGCAACGTACAGGCGCAACGTACAGGCGCAACGTACAGGCGCAACGTACAGGCGCAACGTACATGCACAACGTACAGGCGCAACGTACAGGCGCAACGTACAGGCGCAACGTACATGCACAACGTACAGGCGCAACGTACAGGCGCAACGTACAGGCTCAACGTACAGGCACAACGTACAGGCACAACATACAGGCACAACGTACAGGCACAACGTACAGGCGCAACGTACAGGCACAACGTACAGGCACAACGTACAGGTGCAACGTACAGGAACAACGTACAGGCACAACGTACAGGCGCAACGTACAGGAACAACGTACAGGAACAACGTACAGGCACAACGTACAGGCGCAACGTACAGGCGCAACGTACAGGCGCAACGTACAGGCGCAACGTACAGGCGCAACGTACAGGCGCAACGTACAGGCGCAACGTACATGCACAACGTACAGGCACAACGTACAGGCGCAACGTACAGCCGCAACGTACAGGCGCAACGTACAGGCTCAACGTACAGGCACAACGTACAGGCACAACGTACAGGCGCAACGTACAGGCACAACGTACAGGCACAACGTACAGCCGCAACGTACAGGCACAACGTACAGGCACAACGTACAGGCGCAACGTACAGGCGCAACGTACGGGCACAACGTACGGGCACAACGTACGGGCACAACGTACAGGCACAACGTACAGGCGCAACGTACAGGAACAACGTACAGGCGCAACGTACAGGCGCAACGTACAGGAACAACGTACAGGCACAACGTACAGGCGCAACGTACAGGTGCAACGTACAGGCGCAACGTACAGGCACAACGTACAGGCGCAACGTACAGGCACAACGTACAGGCGCAACGTACAGGTGCAACGTACAGGCGCAACGTACAGGCGCAACGTACAGGCACAACGTACAGGCGCAACGTACAGGCACAACGGAAAGACTCAAGTGTTTCCCCTTTAAAATATTCCACAAATGAAACTCACTGTGACCGAGAAACAAACTCCAGATCAGAGAAGAAGAGTCTGTAATCTGTCATCGTTAAAAGGGCCCTAATCTGTCATTAAAGGGCCCTAATCTGTCAGCATTAAAGGGCCCTAGTCTGCCGTCATTAAAGGGCCCTAATCTGTCATCATTAAAGGGCCCTAATCTGTCATTGTTAAAGGGCCCTAATCTGTCATTGTTAAAGGGCCCTAATCTCTCGTCATTGAAGGGCTCTAATCTGCCGTCATTAAAGGGCTCTAATCTGTCATCATTAAAGGGCCCTAATCTGTCATAATAATAATCTGCTCTTTTCCAATCCTTCTTTAACTGATAACAGTAGTTCAGAGATATTTGAATTTCTAAATTACTTTTCCAGTCTCTAAATCTTGTTATTGTTTTCATTTCGATGTCCCGCCCTCCACCGTTTCACCAATCAGAAAGTCTGTGATCCGGGCGCCAGAACTCACCTGGAGCTAATCTCACTGGTAAAGTACCATGTGGAGCTAATCTCACTGGTAAAGTACCATGTGGCGCAGAACTAAAAAAGGTCTCGTTATGATTCTCAAATCATTAACGACAAAACAAGGAATAAAACCAGGATTTCTATCTTTGTGAAAAAGGTGTTGGTTATAGATTTGTTGTTGACTAAACTCTTGTCTATTCAGCTGTTATGGTCCCAGCTGGATTCGTCTGCATATCTGGCAACCTGAGTCAGGGAGAATGGGAGAGGCTGCAGATAGAATCACTCAAAAGACAGAAGTGTGTGTTTGTTGTGTGTATAATAATGTGGTGTTTGTGTTTCCTTTACTGCAGGAACATTCCAGACAAACAA